TGAACCGGCCGACCCTAGAAGTATCACTAGCACACGCGCGACTGGTGGTAGCTGCGTGGCAGCAAAGCGTCGGTGCAGCGTGCCGGCGTACTGCTGATGCCTTCCTTCCGATTGTTGCTGTTGATATGAACGTTCAATTAGGTCTTCTTACAGACTCTGGACAACACCTGGGATGCCGTTTCGGGTTCCATGCACATCAAACAGACGATCGCGATTTATTCCCGCAAATGTGCCAATCACAACCTTTATATTATCGGCATTGCTTTCCAGCACAAACATTCAAGTCGTGTCACTTGGTGTCCACTGAATTCCTCGATGATCTGGACTCAGATTGACCATCTCGCCATCAGCTGTAGATGGCGCATGTCGGCCTATTCGGATTCTGACAATGCCCTCGTACGCGCACGCCTAGCATTTGCTCTTCCTGCTTCAAAGAAGCGCCTAACTTCTAACCATTTTACTTGTAACTTAAACCGGCAGTCTGCACTTCTGCAATATCATGACCAACTGTCCCATCAATCGTTAGTGGTGAATGAGGATGGTGGGGCGAACGCTGGCTGACATCGTCACAAATGTATCATAAAGAATGTCTTTGACGCTTGCTGTGCACCCAAGTTAAGACCTCGTAACTACGAATGGATCCCTGAGGCATCGATCATTTTGATCGAAGCACGGAAACATACCAGTGAGTCTTGAGTTTCGGCATATTCGTTACGCCACGAAATTCGACTGACAAAGAGTCTACGCATTGACTGGGAACCTTGGTAAGTGGCAAGGGTCCGTGAGATGGAGAAACAGCCGAGTGCTGTTCCAACTTATCCGAGGAAACCATCAGTTAGCGAGACAGTAGCTGAGAAAGACGGACAAATGATCCATTCTCAGTCTCATCGAATATCCCGTGGGGCGGAACCTTTTGTAGATCCGTTCAGCAGGCCTGCTGCGACACTGCCGCTTGCCGAATCATCTGGGCCGAGTTGGGGAGTTGATGTCACACCTCTCATTTTGGAAGAGATTGGACATGAGCTCACTGCGTTAAAACGAAACAAATCTGAACTCGACGGCCTTTCCCCATGTTTGCTAGAATATGGTGGTGACCTTCTTTTGACTACACTTGCTTCTCTATTCCACACGATTTGGAACACTGAAGACTGGCGACTGTCAGCTGTCGTGCCCATCTTCAAGAAGGGTTAGCGTACTTCGTGCGAAAATCACTGTGTCATTATTGTTAGCAATATTACCTTCACACTTCTCACAGACATCATTCTTTGACGACTTACTGGTCCCTATGAGAGCCGGCTTCCGCCCTGGTTGTGGTTGCATCAACCACATATTTACCCTTCGTCAAGTGTTAGAGCAGAGACGCAGGCGACTGATTATAGTCTTTTTCCCTAACTTGAAAGCCGCTTTCGACTATGTTGACCGTTTCAGTTTGTGGCACTGCCTATACGTGAGCGGCATGCCAGCTAAACTGGTTATCATTCTGAAGTCTCTCTACCGTGGCTGCTGAGGTCGTATAACGATCTACAGGAAGCTGTCTCCTGAGTTCTCCATGACAAGTCGGGGTGGTCCTATATCTCTTTTCCACTTAAACTTTGTGGTTGAAATGCTCATGAATGACAGGTTCTCTCAGACTTTACCGGAGTGGAAGTTCTGCCAAGTGACTGACTGACAAATTTTGAGTATGCGGACGACATAGCTCTCCTTGGGCCTGAGGCAGTGGCAAACACTACTAGATAGACTGACGCATAACGCTGCGCGCTTCGGTATGTGCTTTGCGCCTTCATGATGCAAAGTACTGTTGCAGGATTGGACCGATTCACCACTGGCCTTAAGTATCACCGAACAGCCACTGGAATTTGTGGATCGGTCCATTTACCTTGGTAGATGTGTCACCTCTGGTAATATCGTCACTAAGGAACTTACTTCGCATATCAGCAAGGCCCGTATGGCTTTCTAACTACTCAGTTATCTGTGGAGACGGTGGGGTATCAGTCTGTTAGTGAAAGGTAGGGTGCATAACGATACGATAGGACCGGTGTCACTGTTTATATCAGAGACCCGGCATGTACGCAGTAAAGAGCCATCGAGTAGCCGCTGGACAAAGCACCTGTCTTGCAACCCGGACGTCACTGGTTCCAGCCTGTGTGGGGAACCGGGGAACCATCACAATATCCTTATCCCACATGCGACTGGTTTTAGTTGCCTGGCAGCCAAGTGTTGGTTCGGTGTCCTGGCGTACTGCTGATAACTTCTTTCGCAATAGAGACATTGAAAACGTAGTCATGTTTGACCACCGGTGCTTTCGGAGCATTGCTCACATCTGGAGGGAACACTGGGTGAGAATTGCTAAGGTCTATCAGAAGCCTTTTGGTGCTTCACTTGAATGTTTGCTTACGCTCAACCGTTTACGTTGGCTTGTCATGTTCTTCGTAGGCACGTTGACCGCCTACCTCGACTTGCACCATACGGCATAGCGGCACCAAGTTGGGCCAAACCGCGTAGTGACCAGTCCATGACGTGGCATTAAAGCACGGAGAAACTGATGGAGACTTGGTCAGGTTTGTGTATGCCACTTCGTGGATGGAGTCCCAGGGATGGTCCACACCCGTGGCTATATACCCTGTCACACGTGGCGCACTCGCGCAGTCATTAGCGTTCCTGCATTCGGTTTCTTGCATATAATGTTAACTTTCATTCCATCCTGATTACTAATGAGTAGGAGGATTAGTCTAACGCGCCTCATTCTTGCTTCCATTTTCTTTACATTTCGTTTGCATTCAACCCCACTATCTTGTCATTGCTATTTATTAAATAAATAATAAATAAAATTTTATTCTCGAATGTTTGAGGCAAGCCAAATCGGGCAACAACTGGATCCACCGTACTTCGTTGCCCGGATCATAATTGTTTGACTGGACTGAAATAAACCAAACCACACATAAATCCTCAATGATGTGTGTGGTTTAATGTTCGCTCTCCAATCTGAATCCGTTCACTGATATTCTTCAAGCTGCCCGGATAAGGCCGCTTCCCAAGCATTTGACAGCTGTTCTCCATTTGTCCTGTTCACACAGTTTTTGGCTTTAGCGATTTCCACCGTCTCTGTTATTTATCTTTAAGGCGCCCATCACAATTCGCTCCTAGTGGTTTCGAAATTGTCCAAATCGATGTCATCCCCTGTGTCCAGTGCATGCGCCATGTATTCAGACTCGTTTCTCGGCGACCGTGACGTACGTATTATGTGTTCTCCGATTCCAGTACGCAGCTCTCTCGCGATTCTTTTTATGTACTAGTGTGCGCATTCCTTACAGCTATCTTCATGGACGCAATTGATTGTCCTATTGACTAGAGGGATCCTTCAAATGCACCAGTGTCGAACAGATCATGTGACTCTTATTTTCTCCTTGTTTAATATCTCTCGAATGGCTTCCGAAGCTCTTTCTCTACAGCAGATTCGTTTCGTCCCATGCACCTCGTGGTATGAGCCTGAAGCTTTTTGCAAATGGCATTTCATTAACCATCTAAGATATTCACTGTCCGAAAATTTGTTCATTTCCTTCCGAGCAGCTTTCCTATCTTCTTTTTCTGTGCCTCTTGAGAGATGAAGCGATCCCAGCATATAAAGGTTTCGGGTGATTTAAATTGTAACATACCCTTCCGTCTGTATTCATCGGCTTACGATATATCGTCGTTTTTATAGGTCACTCATTTGAACTCGACAGTCGAAGACTGGCAGTGTAGCACGTCAAAAATCCAATAACATGTAGTTTCATTATTTAAGTTCAAATGATTTGGAAATTCTCCTTTTTTATCCTATTTTATGATAACCTATTTACCATCGATGTAGCAGCACCAAATTTTAGGCAAACCATTGGTATTTGTTAGCGCATACTCAAAATTTGATAATAAAGGGGATCTTAGCGGTCCATAGCCTTATTCCACATCATAGTGTATGGTCTTGATTGGTCATGTCAAGCTATAATGTTATTCCTTCGATTATCTGATCTATGGTCAACTTCTTTCGCTCTCCCGGGTTATTGTCCACCAGTAGGTAGTTTTTTTTCTATCCTCAGCGTTTTTGAGTAGCGAGCTATGATAACACCTTTCATGTGAACTCATAAAAACTTTACGAACGTATTCATTCTCCCCACCAAAGTTGCGACAACATTGCCAGACATCTGACCAGCCCGTGCGTCAGTGAACCGATAGCGTCCACAGTAAACCTAATGGAGATGTTGGATTCATGTATCTTCGGTAGCCCATAGGTGGTCGATAGAAGGGTAAATTTCGTGTGTATGTCATGACATTTCTCGGCCCCATATCTTACCTTACGTTCGTTAACTACCAACCAACTTTGATCCTATTCACAATAGGCGTCCCTATCTTGTCCACAGGATTCTGCTACTACATATTTTAAGTAATTTGATTTGATCATTGCCACTCGTCTTGCCCTTAACGACTTTCGTGAAAACAGTAGTATAATCTTCCTTTAGTACAACCCATTCTGGTCACCCTGCTGCTGAAATTTGGTAATGATAAGTAGCTGTGCCCGACTATTATCGGTCTGACGAAAATCTCGTAACATGAATCATCTGGGACTTTTCCATTCTTTTATATTCCTTTCTACTTTAACCGAAATAGTTAATATCCAGCTTGCTTCGCAAGCCTGTCGCACGATCGTGGCTTATCAGGCATATTCATAGGGCCATGCGCTACTTTTGTATCCTCATCCATCTAGATCAGTTGCTATTACTTACTGAACACTGGCCTGAATGATTGAAAAGTAGGCTGTGTCTGCTGGCACCGTTAACTTTTAAGGGATGAGTTGTTGGCTTCTGCTCACTTTAGTTAGCCCGAATTGGTTTCTTATGCAAACAGTGGTTGATCCAAGGAAAATCCGTTTCTTGCACACTACCATCTGTCTTGTCTTCTGTTCCATCCGTTTTATCGATGGTACTTTATGCCTTAATGCTACGAGTCTGTGAACTTTCTTAAATTAGATTCACCGTCCACCAACAGCAAGGAATCGGGTCCTGCACTAACGTCGACGCCAGTTCGCCCCACTTTGGATCGAACGTATAGCCACGTTACTTCTACTTATTCTTCCGAAAACATACGTGGGGCCGATCTTCAGTTGCAGGTTGTGCACTTTGTAAAACAAGGTCGCAATATCTTCTGCACCGGTGGTGCGGGCACAGGAAAATCCCACCTTATCCGGCGCATTATAGGTGAGTTTACCATCTATGGTATTTCCATGAAAAAGCCAGTTGCCCGCTGTTGATTTCCACTTCCCCTTAAATGATGACTACTTAAACCTGTCTTAGCCATGAGGTTATTGACGTTCCCTTCACCTCACACGACATACCGCGCTTCCAAAACAATGGAGAAGGAAGGGACATCTTCACCATAAGCTGATATCAAACGTCGCCTTACAGGCGATCCACGGATGCTTTGGTGAAACTATGCTTAAGCGGCAGTAGCGCAAGCCTAGTGACCATACTTTACTCCATTCCCATATATGCTTCGGAAACGGGTTACCATCTGATGTTCACTGTCCAAATCGTGCTGAACCGTACATACCACAACCCGAGAATTCCGGTATCTCCAGGCGGACAGGTGCTCATTTCCAGCTTTCCTCGTTTACTCCGTTCTGAAGATGCTCTCATCATGGATGCCTACAGCGTGCCACCGTGTCCACAACAATGAGGTGCGCGGACCACCGCTAGGCGGCAGTTCTTTCGACCAGCAAAGAATCTTGAATACAGAAGAGTAGTAGGGGGAGTTGAGTGGCATAAGTAAAAATTGTTATATCTAGACTCACTCAGATAGCCTTCACATGCCCCGAAAAGCACTGTAGGGCAGTGCGTCAGCAGTGCGCATTCCATCTCACCCCGGTAGAACTCCGACCCGCAACTCGGCTGTTCCCAGTCCGTGGTGGAGACCACTGAGCTACGGTGGACGGCAACGACCATCGTGAATAAATTACTGGATGTGATATAGCGACACCCACTATCCACTGGTTTGCACGTTACTGCCGTGCAGATGACAGGGTAGCCTCCTCACCAAGCGAGGCGAGGGGGTTTATTAAGTCACCTGCAGCGCTGAAAGTTGCAAGGAAACTGTTTTTCTAATTGTCAACGGTTTGGCACCGTAAGTTGTTATGATGTAGGCACCTTGATCCCAGTTGTCCATTTGATGGGTTGACGTTTTACCTTTTATCTCCTTCCGCTCACGTTTTGCTTCCTCATTAGGTTAGTTCCTCCTGATTTATGATCGTATGATAGCAAGGCACCAGTATGAAGTAGTGACACTTTCAGTTTTGAAGACCATGACTATGTCAATAGATGGTTATGGTGATGACGACTATGTTTGATGATTATGGCGTGATGTCCACCATACCCCTGACTACTGTTCTGGAAAGCATGGACTAAATTGACTTCGGTTGTTCTACACTATGACTTCAGGCACACCAATACGACCAGGTTTCCTTCATGGTTACGTACTTGTAGCTGTCATGTGCGTCACTTGTTCATCGATGATTAGATGGCAGTTTTTATCATTGATAGACCCAATAAAATCGATGCGAAGATGGTCCTTCCGCTGTCCTGACACGGAATGCGGCTGCAGCTAGCTTCACTTGATAATTTCGAAGGTGAAGTACAAATCACACATTATCAGGTATCATCTGCTCCCGCCATATTACAGGCCAGTAAACGCAGTAGGGGACAAGGGGCTTTATTCGAATATGGTTGGCGGCATCCGGTTTCGAATTTGCCAGCCACAGCACGCTTGAGCCTACAGAGGGACCATGGGTGGCTTGCGCTACACCACCCACAGCTCTAACCACACACCCCATATCCAGTGTAAACCCGAAGCAATAAGACCGGGAGGCATGCGGATGGGAGCCACGTTTCATCAACGGAACCGGCCCACACTCCTTCACAGGCAAACACAAGCACGCTGTATTTGGGGAATCAACCGCACACAAGACGGTGGCTGGACCTTAGTCCGCTCCACACTGAGTGCATGGAAGCGCTCTTCGAGCCTAGCACGACCACAAGGACCGTGCACCCCGTCCCCTCCAGCAACGACCAACTGTCTCCTGGAGCCAGTATGGACGAGGTAGCGGGTAGTAGACAGGTAGGCACCTTGTCAACATTCACATCAGGCGCAGCCACACCGGGAGCTCAATCAACATCTAACTTCTGAAATGCAAGAATACTCATCACGCAGACAAACGTTCCAAAACCACCGTCTTATTGGCCTGGATTAGTAAATCGAATGGGAGCGGACGCATCGCGCTTCTCCGCGTGCAATAGTGCCTTCTCCTGCACCTGGGCAACCGCCCTCTTGATCAGCCCACGGAATTCGCACCGATCAACTCTGCCTTTGATTCCCAACACCTGAAATCAACATTAGTTCGTGATAAACTCACCTTTTTCATCTCCTGGTAACGTAATTTCGGTTTACTAGCGTGCCGCTTCCCTGCACTAAGTTGGCCGTACAAGAGCCGTATGAGTATCCTCATCGAATTCATTCGGTACAGATATAGACATAATTCGCGTCATCCGTGGCCAGTGGCAGTTCGAATGCAACATATGCACATGCGTTTGTCGTAACTTAACTATGAACTACCACAAACTGTATAGAGACACATTAAACCTCATGAACAATAGTACTACAAACGTGCATGGGTTTCTGTTGTAGCTAAGGCTAACAGCCATTTTCGCCAAATAATGGGAAATCACACGTACGTGAATAAGTACCCAATACGAATTGTCGGTGTTTTCTTTAACACTTAGACGTGACCAGAAATGACAGTCTTAAATCTTGGGCATCAATATTTGAACGAAACCGATATGGGAATTTGGAAGCAACTGCCATCAGTACGGTTACCAGGTAGAATGATAACTAAACAAGTGGCACAGTAAAATAGTGTGTATTGAGGTGTTGTCTCTTAGATGTGAAATCGGGCTTGCGGATCTGATGGATGAGATCGCACAGCGTGCGAATGCGATGGGGTGTTCACTTCAGGCTCTCCGTGTCGCCGACCGCCGCTTAAGACTGGACCGGTCCGATCATCGACTGTCCGAGGTTCGTGCGGATTCTCAAAGAACGTATTTTATGCAACCTTAAGCATAGACAGGTGATAATATCACGCATACGCCACTTATGGCTTCTAGCGCGACAACAACCTCAGTACTACATCAAGTAAGTCCCCCTGCCCACTGTTAAATATTCGGCTTTTCAAACAGTGTTCACACTGGTTAGTAAATTTATATGAACTAACATGGCTGTCATCCAACCATTCAATCCTTGGCAAGTACAGCTGTGTACTCTGCTATGCCCATAAGCTATGTGGTTACGATCTGCATCGTACTTTTCGGGTGCAGCCATTCGGTGCTCCTAAAACGATTGTCGCTATGCGCCGATTCATTTCCGATTTAATATACTAAGACACTGACGTACCATTACCATTGGCATTACCTTTTTCTTAGTCTATCCAGAAGATTGGCCATGTCCAATTCAACTTCTGGTAGGCGTCTCTGCACTTCCGTCTTCAATCCGCTTAGTACTTGCGTATTCATAAGCCCCGGTAAATTCAATATGGCTGATGAACAACGGAAAATTTAACTATGCTAACTCTCATCACAAACATGTGAAGCGGAACATGAACTGTCGACATCACGATAATCGCTGGTCAGTTACTTTTCAAGATTGTTCACACCACGGGTATTCCAGGGCGATTTCTGATTGGATGCACGGTCCAACATTGTCACACGAGGGAGAATCGTTGAGGATTGTATTCCAAATTTTAAACTTTACACCTTATGCGTACTGTAAGCGGCTAAGCGCTGGTAACCTTTTGATTCACGCGTACCCACCGAACTGGAAACATATTTAATACTTTGCCACCCTAGCATTGCTCCGTATCAACAACAGTTCGCCCGGAAACTCCGCGCGCACACCAACTGCGAATGAGATCCTGAATGGACTGCGCCCTTATCCCGCGATGCATCGGTTCTAAGCGTCGTGCTAGTTAGTATCGGGTACTTGGTCGAGCTAGGGTCATGTAATATACCAGTCGATTTCAAGGAGCAGAATCTAAATAGAAAAAGGCATAGCGGCGGCCTCGCATAGTCTGGTGAGTAATTACCTGGAGCTTACATAGTGATGTGAATCGTGGACTAATAATAATACGAAGAGGAAAGTGCCCTAGCTCTTCGTCTCGGTGTGTCACCGTACTAGAATCCATTTGAAAAGTGAACAAGGGCATCATACGTCACGATAGGTACAAAAGTGTAATGGGCAACACGAAGTAAACGCGAAATACAACCGAGTTAAGTAAGCCCAATAAAAGTAGGTTAGATATGGTTCTTCTATCTTAGACGAGTGCATTAAAGATGCTGCAGTACACCAAGTTAGTAGCCAATCATTCCAGAGTGAAACTGTACCTTAGCGCGATTTACATCAGCGATAGAATAAGGATGAGATGCAGTAAGCAACTTTTCAAGTTTGCATGGAAATGGTGCGCTGAATTCTGCTGATCTTCATAATCTCAGGCAAATTAAAGTCGACGGATGAAGAACGGAAATTATAGCTCTAATCACTATAACGATTAACATGTGGAACCTATGAAACATCTACCTCATCATGTTAGTCGCTAGTCAGTTACTTGCCGGGACTTTTCAGTTGTTCCGGAGCGATCTATCTTTGCATGCATGCTCCACCTTGAATATGTCCCCCAGATTGCAAGTTTGTCGCCATATATATGTATACATATATATATATATATATCTGTGTGATAGATTCGAAGGAACACTGATGAATCCCTCAGATTGGTCGCTTATTTTCAAGCATTCTCATCTTAAAAACCAGCAGTAGTAATGACGCTGCTAGTGTGAATGGTCCGCGTTAGGTCCTGGCTACCAAGCGCTTGCTGCTTACAATATTCCACATTCGTTCGTGCATTTGATGGAGTATAGTGATCAACAATTATCCCTGGAGCCCAAGTACTCTACAACGCTTCCTCGCTTTGGAATGCAGTTTGAAAATTCGGTGTTCAAGGCCCAACAATTTTCGTTGCAAGTGCCCACACGTTGGCTCGTCCGTGTGTAAACTGATTAATCACGGCAAGTAACTGACTAGCGATTAACATGCTGATGTTGATACTACATGTTCTGTTCCACATATTAGTCACGAGAGTGAGTGTAGCTATATTTCCCAC